CCGGCATTTTACCCTTAGAGACACTTCGCTCACTACTGGGAATTTCTTACTGCATAGGCGTTTCCGAATGAAGGAAGAGTAATGAATTTCCAGAGGAGATAGATAGCACAAAAGTCAATCAGAATGCCACCGACCAAAGATCGTGACAGGTTTGATCCAATTTACACATTCAGGGTAGGTAAGCAAGAGTGATGGAACAGGCGACGAGGTGATAAATGATCCAACGAGCGGATATGCGCGTGTGTTCGGGGGCGTCTTTAGTTGTGGGGATGGAACAATCCAACTGCATTACGCCAAGGGTAAACATGTCCGCATGGTGTACCCTCTTGCCAATCAAACAGACTTGCTCGCCACACGGTTGTGCGTTTTTCGGACGGGAACGTAGTCCGTATTGACGACACAATAAGCAGTGGCACGCTGTTGCGGGTGAAAAGATGGCGGAGGATCACAACTACTGATTTTAGCTACATGTGCCTATGTTTTCTACCAAGCGACCTTTCTACTCGGTGATGGGTTGAAAATTATTCTGACTTGGATTTGAAACCATTGTAGATCGAGCAATCTAGCAAGTAAGTTGTGCTAACGAGCACTACCTTCCAAACAGTTGGAGGATTACAGGGATGCACAACGCCAGGATCTTTATTCCATCCAAATGGATTTTGCGGACAAACAGAGTGACAATTCAAATCAAGAAGTAAGATAAAGGTCGCAAAATACACTCGCTTGAACATTAATTTCATTATGATGAGGAGCTTAGCTGGGCCTCCCATTAAACCAAATTAGTGCACAAACGAATGTGTTTCACCGATTGCGTTCAATTTAAGTTCAAGTACAACACAACCTTGATGGGAACTGAGACTACCTGATTAGCCCCATGGAGGGTGAAATCGGTCTGGGGTTGTCGAAAGTTTTCAGCAACCCTGTAGGTAGTGTGCTCTGTCTTACGAACGTGAGCTCTTTCCACACGGATCTATTGTGGTGCGTGGGCATAACTTGGCAGCCAGTGTCCGAAAAAAAACTGCAGGATCAGACCCTAATTATCCATATTTAGACTAGGATGTTGTTGCTGCGAGACTCAAATGGATCTCTCGTTTGTGATGCTCCTCAGGTGAATGTACTTCAAAAAAGGCCGCATCATATTTCGGTTAAGAATGTATTTAATATTTTGCTTGGTATGGCGCTATCTATCAACCTATCACTGATTACATGAATTACGGAGCTTATCAGGTAAGTCCAGTCCACAAAACTCCATCCATCTTAATTCAAATTGAAGGCCAAATAGGACGTCGGCGAGGTTAACTTTTTGTTTGAAGATTGGGATGTAGATGAATCTCCCGTCCACAATATTCTTCTATCAGTTCTTCGGCAACGATGTTCAAGATGTCGAAGCGGTGCTATGCCGAGGAGAGTCCAATTTTGCCCCAGCTCCATTCACGTTGGCGGTCAACAAAATTGCTTAGGGATCCATTGCCGAATGCCAGAACTTTGGAATGCGGTGTTTCCATTTGTATTGACATGTATATGTGAAACTTGTTATATTGTAGTTGAAGTATTCCAACAGATGGATTGGAAACTATCAGGAAGGTCAGATTCCTGAAAGTAACCCCAGGACGCCCGGAACCTACTGGAACTCTAAAAATCCACCAAAATCTCAATAGGGAAACTGGTAAGCATCCAGGCCAGTCAGTCATTCAATCAGTTCAGCAAAAGCCGGTGAGTGTTCAGGCACGCCACAGAAGCACGACCGAATGTGATCAGCTTTCAGGCATTTCTTAGAAGTACGGTCGATGTTGATGGGTATTCACTGAAAGCCTATCAGACAGCCTGGATAAATGTCAGAAGGTGTCCTTTAAATGACGCGGGGTCGTCGTAACTTTTGAACTCGCACGCGCTCGCTTGTTTGGAATAAAGCTGTTGCGTTCCCTTGTCGGTGACTTATTTCCTAGAACCAGGCACTGGAGTGGAAACAGCGGTTAGATACAACAGAAACGCGTATTCGAAACAAAGTCTTCTCGGTACCACACTGTCAGTCTTTGACATACATTGAGATCAATGCAATCTAACCGGGGTTTGACGTTTAGGCAAGCAAAACTCCCGGGAGCTACCGTGATGTGATGGTCAGATTACCTGACCTGAATGGCCTAAATCTGTCGTTCCGACGATGGGATAACGTGAAGTGACACTTCATTTGAACAAGTATTATAAGCCACAAATCAGGTTGGCAACTGAAAATGTCCCCGTTATTTAGTCCGTGGTAAAGCAATAAGTATTAGGCAATCACAGTATTGTCACAACTGGTGGTCGCCACCTACAGATAACAGTATCAGAATTAACAAATTGTAACGTCAGAGAACGTTGGTGAACCACAGTAAGCAGAGACAGCGCAGTGACTGCTTTGTTGGACGATAATTCTCCACGTAGGAAAATGAATATGGATCATTTATAACGGGGAATTTGACGAGAAACTTGAGATGTCAAGACATACACTCATACAATTGGTCAATACATGAGAGACCTAAAGTGGAATTTGTTTTCTTTTACGGTTAGTTATAGACTGAAATTTCCCTTAATGAAATGAGGGGACGTAGCATAAGTCTGTATACCCGAACTGTTCTCATTTAGGTATGCGACGAGGGAATTTCTCCAGTTCAGGATAAATATCCGTAGATGGCCAAGGTTTATTCCAACCGGTCATCGATTCTACTATCGCTGAGAAGTCAAGCGACTGAGATCACAGTTCTCCAGCTGTAATCAGCTCTCTAAAAACTCGATTCATGTCAGGTTCAAATCTAAGTGTGGGTTACCACCGCCGATAGCAATAGCCCGAAACCTTATAAAAATACTTCGCTTCGAAACCGAGAGTCGGACATATAACAAGACGCCCATCGCTTGCAACACACACAAACTCGCTAAAGCCTAACAAAGGTGCACCTATGGGACCTTCTCCTTGGAGAAGTTTCATCACTACTGATGGAACAGCATCTTCATCGGTTTGCGTCCGTATAACCGGTCTAACAACGAAAACTTTAACGCTACAGGCTGGCTGACAGTGGTCGTCTCGTTGAATGATGAAGAGGCTTTTGGAGAGCTCGGCGAACAGTTCAATAACAGGTGAATCCATCTACCTATCAATAGCCCGCAAAATAACTGAGCACATGCTGTCCAGGGTTGAGGATGTACCAGTTTGAGATAAAGCTACAGACGGAAAGCTGTGCTGACCATATTGCACTACTTCTTATGCTGTGAGATTTTACTGCTGAACGGAACCAATGGAGTACAAAATTCCCGAACAATACCGTCACATGGAACTAGAAAAAATAAAAATGCACAAACCGATATGAAATTCCTGCCACAGAACAGCTACGAGATTCAACACGGTAACGGAACCAACCTCATGGAACCATGACGGCCCACCTAAACCATAACTCAGTCATCCCAGAGGAGATCATAGAAAAAAACCATGTGCCGAGGCGTATTACCGTAAACATAGTATGGGGTGGAAAGGAAACGGGAAGGAAATGATAAAGCGGTAGCTGCAGCCCGTACGATAACTAGGAAGGGAGCATAAGCAGCAAAGAGAAAAGCGGGCGACAAACGATACGGGTTCGCATTGTCTTTCATCCAATCGAGAGGGAATACAAGAATGCTGTGTAGTGGCTGCTGAACAGTGAGCTTGAGAAAAAGTCAAAAACGCCAGTTCGTAATGCGGACAAACAGTTAATCTGTATCCATTGGTTTGCTTCCAGACGTATCCTTTTTCGGGTCATCTTCAGAACCAGTTTTCGGGATCTCTTCTGCATCTTGTGGTTTGGATATATCTACAGCAGAGCTCGAGGCGGTACCGCCATTGCCCTCCAGTGCTTGGGAGAAGGCTACCAAATCTGACAGACGAATGGAGACAAGTGAAGCAAATGATTAGATGCTGTGGTGTCATGAACTAATCTATTTAACGGAATGAGCACACTTTGTGGAGGAAGTAGAGATTTCGGTGTTACATCTGGTTATCGGATTAGACAACCGTGTAAACCGACTTTTCTTGTTTTGGAAATACCCTCATCATGAGATAGTCATGTACTGATAAACCAAGCTAACTTCTCCGTTTTCCCACTCAGTCTGACAGTACGTTGTCTTCGGATCAACAACAACCCAATGGTTTGCAGTATTTCGCCATGCTCACAATTCCAATCCAACAGCAGACGGAAGTGTACAGTGTTGCAGCACCTACATCGATGTTATACGGACGCGGACCGTCATCAACTTATGCAGAAAATAGGCTATTGCTATTCCTCGGTCGTCCACGTTTACAAAGCACTGAGTTGCCAACGATGAAGTCGAACGAAAAAATACGTCGCACATACAGTGAACAGACAAATGCAGCCATTCCACAGGTTGGTTATCAAGCGCGCCATACAGGCTTCAGGAAATTTAGCTGGGAGGCTGCTGCTTGCTTGGGGTAGAAAAAGGTACCGATTGGGCAGCTGATGATCTAACGCTAATACCGAACACAATCATGCCCAGTCCGTACTCTCATATGAAGTAATGTTTTCCATCACACTGATGGGACTAATTTTGGAGCATGCGCATTTCATGGTCATAAAACTGAGTGAAGCTGAACACAAGCAGTTGAGAGAGCATACTCGAATTGTGTCACGCTGACGAGGTGGCATCACAGTGCCGAGATATGAACGACAGATAATAAACAAGTCAGTTTCACGTTAGGCAAAGCACACTGGATGTCGCTTATCTTTTCATGGTGGTCCAGTCTATCGGTTATCCACAAGTTTACAGATTGTGAGTGGAAGAAAAGGATTGCCATAAATGAAGGTCACAGCAGTTAACCTTACTACCTACTCTAAGAACATGTATGGCAGCTGTTGTGAGAAGAAAAAGGTGCGTCCAACGAGATAAACCAGAGGTAGCACAAACTTATACGAAGAAGATCGCTTAATTCGATTAAAAGGAATTTATCAAGCAGGTATATCCAGAACGAAACCAGGTACCTCACCTCCACGTCGAGCTGCTTCGTCAGCCTTGCTTCCCAGCTTGAACTGGGACAAAACGGGTGCCAATTCCCCTGTCTGGAAGGCAGCCGAAAATGACTGGAACAATAGAGAGGCAGAAAACAGAGAAAGAACGTCAGTGTACAAGTGAGACTATTTCTGTTTTACGGTGAATGGTTCTGGTGAGTCTTAGTAAGGGTTGAATAAACCACCCTCATAAAATCAACGATTGTGGGAGTACATCGGACAACTACTTGAGAATGATGAGAACTTTCCAGGAGTTGCCAAGTTCCAACTATTTTCAGTATCTTTATCATACTGTCGCGTGTAAACTCATTCCCTACTATCACTTGGAAAAGAACTGCAACAATCATATAGCGCTGATAGCTCCTTACGAGATGTGTTCTCTGAGATGCATAGTGAGAATTCCAGCCCCCAGAGGTATTTTTAAAATGCTTAAAATCCAGACGGTACTACAAACCCCTGTTGAGACCGTAGACACCATAAAAACTCAACCAGTTCTTATGGTACCGAAGAACAGGGCACCCACTCTTGTCAGTAGACCAGGTGGGCCTACAGCCTTTCTAACGTCACCATTCCTCATTGCGGACAGCAATTCGCGCAGACCCGCTCATTTCCAGTGAAGAAACTTCTGACTAATCAACTTTAGTTGAGAGCATTGATCTGGGGTTTCTCGGATGATATCAGGTCATATTGTCCTTCGCAAGAGTGGTTCCCTAGAGAAACCAGCCTTAATTTGCTGTCACTTAGCAATGCAGGAAGTACTTGATGACATGCTTCTGGAAGATCGCGATGAAACTTTCTGAACAGGAAATCCTGTCAAATTTATTGAATTCAGTAGGACAGTGGGGAATCCCGGTGGAACAAATCCTGCGCAGACCAAGCCAAACTATTGGAATGACTCCATCAGATTCCATCGGCAAACCCATTACTTCACTCAGAATGCGGACAGATTGTCTTGATGGTCCATCACACAAAGCCTGCAAACGCTGCGCGTTCTCCACCATTAATTGTGTCAGAACAACTTTAGCGCGTCTCTTAAGAGTTGGAACTCGCATCTGATAAACATTGTGTGGCCGCAAAACTTCTCAGGGAACGCGTTTCACATGTTGTCAGCGATTTTGCAAACAGTAAACATGAGTTGAGTTGTGTTATTTCGATGAGTCACACGTACCAGAACGACTGGAATACCATGGGTCTTGAGGAGCAGCTTTTGTGAACCTACGTCACCTGTGGCGTAGGCGTGACATCAGCTTATCCATCAAGGGTCGAGTTTACAATGCTGCAGTGCGCCCCATATTACTATGCGGATCAGAAACCTGGCCGCTGCGCGCCGAGGACGTCAAAAGATTTTCAGTGTTTGACCATCGATGTCTTCGGAGCATTGCCAGAATCTGGTGGGAACACCGGATCAACAATTCTGAAGTACGTCGAATGGTATTCGGGAGAAATAACTCACCCTCGATAGATAAACTGA